GCTTAACACACTGCAACACCAGAGCTCCTCATATCAACTGCGCTTCTGTATGGAAAAGAAATGCAACCCATTCACCAACTCAGGACTTCATCATCTGATACAGCCAATATGCTCAGCCCGGTTCTGCTTCAGGTGACACAAGGATGTTGGCTGACATTCCCGGAGCATGCTGACCATACTAGGCTAAGGGAGCACTTTACATTTGTGACGCAGTGGATCTGCACAACACCTTGTGATATAGGTCCTGTCCACCATCCCCATGTGAAAGATCAGGGATCCGAGGCACAGAGACTTTAAATAACGAGGATCTAGCACTGAAATCTATAGTCTGCACCACTCCAAAATGCAGATGGCATCCCTGTCCTTCCGTAGTTAATATTCTTCTGGGGAAGCAGACAATAAACACCTAAAACAAAAATCCTATCCTCTGAGGAGGTGGTCCCAGAGCACTTGTGGAGTAGTAGGCTATGCATTCAGCTGCTACCCCCACGGTCAGTGGTTCGAAATCACCAGCCACAGGGAGAAAGAGGGGTCTTTCTACTCGTGTGAAGATTTACAGTCTCAGAAACCCACAGAGGCAGTTCTGCTTTGTCCTGTCGGGACACTATAAATCAAAATCAGCTGGATGGCAGTGGGGTTGGAGTTTGGAGCAGGTGATAAGTACACCATGAAGAAAATAAAGCTCAGGAAAGGGATCTAGTGTTGAGACACATCAGATTCCATATCCCATCACACCCACATGTCCCAATGTCCTATTTGAGGTCTCCTGGCTAGTAGATTCTCCTTAAATGAAAACTGACCTCTGCTCTTCTAGACAGGGACTCTGAGGAGCCAGCCAAAATAGATGTCTTTTCCCTCCTCTGATAAATGCCCTTTCACAGGATAATTTGATTGGCTGAGCAGCAGGCATTGCCAGTACTCCGAAGCCATTTTTATGTCCTTTGGATGGTCAGCCAGTTCAGCGAGAGAGGACTGATGCCCGTATTAGTCGTGAGCAATGGCCCTGTTCCAGCCGTCGCCTTCCCCCAACGTTTTCTCCAGGGGGTGATAGCTTGGCCCCCAAATCAAGTCTATTCTTCTCACCTCGGCACCAAGGACATTACATTCATTCCTCTGGCTGACAGCAATTTGTAGACATTGGGTCTTTGCTGTTGGACATTTGGCGAGGTTCCAACGGAACAAATGCTTTGGTTACAAAGGTCTCCAAAAGCTGCCTCGGTTTGTCATATCACTTTAAGTCATTTATTTTACCTTTACAGACAGCTGTGGCCAAAGGGATGTGGGGTAGAGGGAAGCTAAAGGGAAATAAACGCTCCTTTCCTGAGACCCGGGGAGCGGGGAGCCCACTTCCCAAGTCATGGGAGCCCTCCCGAGGGAAGAGCTAGGACCATGGTGTCTCCTCTCTGTGACCAATGACGTGTTGGAAGGTGAGTCGTGGTGGCACGGCATTTAATGACGTGGCCATGATCTTCCAGGCACTGCCTAAATGTTAGCTCATGTCATCCCGAACAGACCCAAAAGCTAAGGGCTAGTCTCCCCCGGATCCCAACCAGAGAGAGGGCAAAGGGGATTCCTGGAAGTCCCACAGGACTAAATGACAGAATTGGAATCCAAACCCAGGTTCGTCCGGTGGCGGAGCCTCAGTGTCTCACCGCGTCACGTCTTCTGTTCTCAGGAATAACATGTTAGACGAGGGGAGACTGTCCGTGATGATCAGAGGGATGACATGTGAGAAGAGTTTCATTTTACAAAGTTTGTAACGGGGGCGATAGTTGGCATCTGTGACTCTGAAGAAGAGCCCCGGTGGCACAGGGATTAAAGTGCTCAGCTGCTAGCTGAAAGGCCAGCAGCGCAAACTCACCAGCGACTCCCAGGGAGAAAGAGCAGGCAAACTGCTTCCATAAAGGTTTACAACTAAGAAACCCTGTGCAGCAGCTCCGCTCTTTCCTCTAGGATGGCTACAAGGCTGGGGCTTGTTGGTTTTTAGGTTTGTAACCCAGGAAAGCCTCTTATGGGGGAAGAAGAGAGAGAACTTGATTCCCAGGGGTGACTCTCATACGACACTCGGAGTGTTCTCTGGAAGTCTCAGTGTAAATGGCTTTTCTAGAGCGTGTTATAGAAAGCGTTCTTAAGATTAGTCCACTTTTCCTCAGGAGTTGCCAAGTTAATGGTCAACCAATGAGGAACACTGAGGTTCTCCTGCCTCTCCACCATCCTCTCTGTCCAGCACATCTCCAAGTACTGGCCTCTCCTCCTTTAAAATGGTCCTCAAAGCAGTCCCCATGCCCCTTCATCCATGGTTGTACCCAAGACCTTCGTCCCCTCCCACTTCCTAACTAGTCTTCCTGCTTCTTATCATTTTCACCTCAAAAGTACATCTCCTATCTTCCCTGCAAATTAATTCCTCAAAGCATCTCTTTCTAGAACCATAAGAGACCTAGAAATAAACATAAAAGGATAGTTTTAAGATCTAGTTTTAGACAAAACGAACTCTTAAGTAGAACATCATAAGAATAAGCAACAAAGTAAAAATAGGTAAAGTAGATTTCATCAATGTTAAAGTTGGAGAGGAAAACTACAGGATGGGAGGAACCCTTTGAAACCAAATATCTAGTTAGAGGAACCCTGGTGGTGTAGTATTAACAAGCAGGTCAGCAGTTAGACACCACCAGTTGCTCTGCGGGAGAAAGATGAGACTGTCTGCTCCCATCAAGATTGACATCCTCAGAAGCCCGGGGCCACTTCTACCTTGCCCTATAGGGTCCCATGGACCATAGTTGATTCAATGGTAGTGAGTTTGGTCTGGGTATCTAATAAGGATTTGATCCAGAATATAAAAACAGCTCCTACTACTGAACAACAAAAAGATAACCAAAATTTTCAAAATGGGCAGCAGGACTTACTGAGGCATTTTTCTGAAGAAGTTATTCAAATGGCCAATAAGCATATGAAACAATGCTCAATGCTAAATGCAAATCAAAACCACTATAAGATACCAACTTAAAGCGAACAGCAAGTTTGGGCAGGGAATGTGGAGAAATTGAAAGCTATATACATTGCTGGGCAGGAGCCCTGGTGGCCTAGTGGCTATGAGTTGAGCTGTGATCCACAAGTGTCTCAGTTCGAAATCACCAGGAGGTTTCTCCGCAGGAGACAGACTGGGCTTTCTACTCTCATAAAGAGTTCCAGTCTCACACTCACAGGGGCAGTTCTACCCTGTCCTGCAAGGTCGCTATGAGTCGGCATCGACTGGATGCCAGGGAGCTGGGGGCTTTTTTGGTTTGGGGCATTACTGATAGGAATGTATAACGTGGAACAGTTTGGAAGGTCCTCAAAAATTACCCGAGGTACACACCTCAAAGAAGTGAGCGCAGGGACAAGCACAAGTACGTGTGGCCCCGCGTTGACTGCAGCATTGTTCGTAAGAGCCAAGAGGTAGGAACAAGCCAGTGAACAAACATGAGGCATACAGGCAGTGGACTCCTACTGAGCCATGAAGAGAAGTGATATTCTGATACTAGCTACCCTGTGATTGAACCTTGAGAACTTCATCCTGAGGGAAATGCCAGCCACAAACGGGCAACTCTTGTAGATACCGTTTATGGAGCTATCCAGAAGAGGCCAGTGCAGAGAGCAGCAGTTAGAGGTTACCAGGGGTTTTAGGGGGGTGAAAAAATGGCGAATTACTTCTTTAAAAAGTACGAGGTTTCTGTTCCTGGCGCAGCAAAACTTTGGGAAATGGTTAGTGGTGAGGGTTGTGGGCCTCGTTTTATGTGTGCCATGATCGGGACTGGATTGTTCACTTGCCAATGTTAAAGTAGAAGACGTATTGTTACATATATTTTGCCACCGTGAAATCATTTACAAGAAAAACAATTTTCTTCATTACATCAGTCATTGTTCAAGGCCTCTCTCTCCGTAGCTCCCACTTGCCTGTTCTCTAGAGCAGGCCTCTCCCGAATCAGGCTTGCTTCTCTAGCCCTGAGTCAGCTAGCCTTCATTGGCCACTCCATCGCTCACTGAGTGCTTCCAGCTTTACGCCTTATTCCACTGAAGTTAAAGTCCACTGAATTTAACATTTAATTGTTGTTTTCTCTGAGGTCAAGGACTCAGGGGTCATGAGCATTGTACCTGGATGGGCCTTGACCACTTCAGAGCTGTGTGACTTTGGACACATTGCTTGACTTTCTGGACCCTCAGTCTACGTATTCATAAAAATATACATATCTTATAGATTTTCTTTCAGGAAATGAATGAAATCATAATGATCATAATAATAACTAACATGTATTTTTGCATTTGTTGCATGCTAGGCAGTGTTCTAAGTATGCTCTTATGCCTCCCAACCACTCTTTCCCCAGGTTTAGAAAACCAATGCACTGACTAGTCCAACTTACAGAGGCCAGGCCATCAGACTCCACATCCCTAAATCGTAGCTACTCCACTCTACCACTGACCATGGTAAATGATCCTTAAATGATAGTAACACAGGTCCAAATCCCTTATCAGAAACCCTGGGTTACCCAGATGTCTTTCAGAATTCAAAATTAGGGATGTTGTTTATAAAAAATCTGTGCCTGGTAAGGTAGCAACCAATGACCAAGCACATTAATATTTCTGCAACCAAATGACTAAATAAGCACACTCTGCGAGACGGACTAGGATCACAGGCCAGGTCAGCTTTAGACACACATGAGTGTGCTGCAGACTTACAAATCAACCACCACTACCCCCAAAAAATAACTTTGGATTTTAAATTTTGTGAACTTTAGAATTGCAAAGCGGGACTATGACCGATAACAATTATGCCCGTGGCACTACTTGCAAACTTCATAAACAGTAGCTGTTGTTCCAGTGTTGACATTTTTAGGTTGGTTATTTGACTGGAGGAGCTCATGACGCAATGATGAAGAGTTATTTCTCAGCTACATCCAGAGCGACAAGGGAAGGGGGAGGCAGGGGATCTTGTCTCAGACACGGCTCTCTCTCTCCCGCCCTAGTATGACTTCATGGAGCGCCTGGACGGGAAGGAGAAGTGGAGTGTGGTCGAGTCACCCCGGGAGCGCCGGAGCATCCAGACCCTGGTTCAGAACGAAGCTGTGTTTGTGCAGTACCTGGATGTGGGCCTGTGGCACCTGGCCTTCTACAACGACGGCAAAGACAAGGAGATGGTTTCCTTCAACACCGTGGTCTTAGGTAGGTTTGCGGTGCCTGAGGCAGTATGCCATGCGGGGAATGGTAGAAAGACCCAGGGACTCATTAGAAAACATGTCTTCCAACGTAGTTTCTACTAAGTAGGAGACCAAGCCAGAGTTTCTCATTCAGGCCTCACAGGGTCGTCCGGTTGCCATGGACTTGACTATCGCTCACAACGGCCCCATGTGCCTCAGAGGGAGGTTTTCATGACTGATGTTTTTGAAGATCATTAGGCTTTCTTCTGAGATGCCTCTGCGTAGATTAAAACCACCAATCCTCCAGTTAGTAACTGAGCTCTCACTACGTGCACCCTCCAAGGAGGCTGCTGTGTTAGTCCAGGTAGACTGGAGAAACAAATTCATAGACCTTCATGTGTGCATAAGAGACATTCTTATATGAAAGGGTAATTGTATATTAAGGGAACATCCCAGCCCAGTCCAGATCAAGTCCAATATTAGCCCATATGTCTGATACCAGACTGCATGTTCCTCTTCAGACTCCTACAGCACATACAATGACAAAATACAGGAAGATCACAGGCCAGTGGGTGAAAAGTCTTGTGGATCTAGTGGTGGTGGAAGCATCTCAGCGCTGGCGTGGGTCTCTAGGTGGCTCCTCCAGCTCCAGGGCTCTGGCTCTATCAGCGTAGCTCCATGTGGCTTGTCAACAGGAATGTCTCACAGGGAGACTGTCTGTATCTGGCTTCTAGTCAGGTATTTATCTCCATGGCTTCTCCAAAATGAGGTCATCAAACTGTGACCTGATTGACAGGCTAGCCTTCACTCCTTCGCAAGTTGACAGGAGATTATGTCACTGCCACAGCCACACCAGAAATTAGCTCTGGTTAAATGGGGCTTCTGCCTAACCACAAGAGAGCCTCTGCCTCTGCAGAGGGTTGAGTCATGCCTTAGAACTTCAGTCATACTACACACAGCCTCTGCAAATCCCTGGCCTTTGATAAGCCTTGGGCTCTTTATAGTACAATATCACCAACACTAGAATTCATTTCATAGGGTTGTTGTAGGCTTCCATGAGCTAACATCTGTAATCACTAAGGACATAGTCTCACACCCACACAAAGCACACTCACCGCCATCAAGTCGATTCCAACTCCTTGCGGCCCTACGAGGACCTGCTGTAGCCCTGCTTTTTATGAGCTCGCCAGGAAAAGGCTAAGGTGTGATCCACAAGTCTTTTGTGTACATGCAGCAAACCCTACAAAACCCACTGCCTGCCATTGAGTCAATTCTGACTCAGAGCAAACTGATTTAGGGTGTCTGATGCTTTGTATATCTTTACGGGAGCAGACAGCTTCATCCTCTCCTACCAAGTGACTGGTGGGTTTGAACTGCCAAACTCGTGGTCAGCAGCCCCACACTTAACCCAACAGCACCACCACGGCTCCCTGATACAGGTGAACAAACCTTTCAAAGAGCTAAACACCAGAACAGATTTCACACATTTTCTAAAGCAAATCTTGGGAGTTTTAGCCACCAAATAAGCTGCACATATTTTCATTGAGATGATTTCAATCTTCTGAGGTTGGTACTCTTCTTTCTGAGGCTAACTGATTCTGGATTCGTACTGTCATGTGCTCAGGCCTGTTTCACAGAAGAATAAACTGAGGTCTAGAAAGCTAAACGCCTCGCTCGCAGTCCCACAGTCTTCTAGGCTAATCCATGCTGCCTTCCACACCACGTCTTTCAGCCATGGATCTCAGAGAGTCCCAGTGGAGAAGTATAGATGAGTCAATTGATGAGGAAAACCCAAGTAGATCCAGAACTAGGTATCAGCTTTCCTTTCCACCTTACGAGTCACTTAGGAGTCCTGGTAGCATCGTGGGTTACATGTTGGGCTCCTAACCACAAGGTCAGCAGTTCAAACCCATAGCTGCTCTGTGAGAAAAAGTTAAGTCAGTCTGCTTCCATAAAAATTTCCCAACTGTGAAAACCCAAAAGGACAGCTCTATTCTGGTCTGGTCTGTAGGGTCACTATGAGTCGGAACCAACTCAATAGCCCTGGGGTTGGTTTGGTTTTAGTAACTAAGCAACTTAGCCTCCCAGAGTCTCCTTCTCATCATCTGAGAGATGAGGAGAGAGTCAGCTCCAGAGAGTGAAAGGTGGTGTGATTGCATGTATACAATATGTCTCACACATGCTCGTTAGGTGCCATCAGGCAGTTCCAACTGACAGCAACCTCACGGGCAACAGAATGAAGCCGTGCTTGTTCCTGGGCCATCCTCACAGTCATTTCTAAGAGTGGGCCTTTTGTTGCTGCCACGATGTCAATCTGTCTCCTGGAGACTGACGCTCCAGGGACTAATCCTTCCTGATAACGTCTCCAAAGTACTGGAGAGCCTAACTATATTCTCCCTAAAGAGCGTGCGGGCTGTACTCCTTCCGAGTACAAACAGACAGATCTGTTTGTCCTTCTGGCAGTCCGTGGTTCTCCCCTTATTCTTGGCCCAAACCAAATTCAGATTCATCCATTCTTTGTGGGTCTACCTATTGCCAAGTGTCCACTGCATAGGAGGTGATTGGAAAGACCTGGCTTGGCTCAGGCACACCTTAGTCCTCCAATTGACGTCCTTGCTCTGCGACACTTTTATAACTAGATCGTATGCAGCAGATGTGTCCAGTGCAATATGGCATTTGATTCCTTGCCTGATGCTTAGAGTTACTAGGGACTAAGTGATCGCCAATTATTTTTAAGAGCACATTTTACATAATGCTTTTTCTATTAACTACAGTTAAGAGCTTTACTATTGGCCAAATGTAGTTCCCTGAAGGCTCCCTGAATCTTGAAAGACACATGAGCTGGTCTACAAGAGCAACCACAACTTCAGAATGGCAGAAAAGCAGATTGGTTTGGGTATGGACCACTGGGATGAAGGCAACCCATATTCTCTCTGCTAAGGAAAGATTGGCCAGATCAGAGCTAGCCAAGTGCTTTAAAACAGGAGTTGGCACACTGCAGCCCATGGGCTCACAGCCACGCCCATCCATTTATGTATTGTCCTATAGCAGCTTTGGCCCTATGTGGCAGAATTGAGCAGCGGAGACAGAGACAGTATGGTCTGTAAAGCCTAAAATATTTACTGTCTGTCCCTTTAAAGAAAGTTTGCCAACCCTCATGCTAACCCATGCTATAAAGTTTTATGAGGAAAGTCATTTGAGAAGTCATCCACAGAATATTTTCCAGATCGAGTTATGTACAGTGGGGAAGGGAGGGTGATGGTACTTTAAAAATGTAGAGACTAGCTCATAAAGGGAAGAAGCTAGAAATTCATTCCATACTCGTGTGAGATGTTGTGGTTAAAACTATCCAGAACCTTCTAAGAGATTATATCCTGAATTTAAACTCTAAAAGCCTGACACATACAGTTCAGCACACACCACACAGAGCAACTGGCTTACTTGCAGTCTGAAAGGATTCAGGCGTTCCTGGTAGTGAGAACAGTTAATGTGCTCAACCAGAAGGCAGGAGGTTCGAATCTACCCGGAGGGACCTTAGAATAGCCAGGTGATTAGCTTTTAAGCCATCACCCCTTAAAAAATCCATGGAACCCACATGTGAGGTTGGCCAGCAAACGATTGACTGGGGGGAAACGGTTTGATTCCTGGTACAGGAAGTAGTGAATGGTTGAGAATAACAGCAGCACAGTTACACAGGCAAAGGCACTTCCCACACACCACCTGTTGTATTAAAGAGCCCTGGAGGCATATCTGACGCGGCATTGGACTACTTACCAAAAGGTCGGCAATTCAAAGCCAACAGAAAAAGATGAGAGTGTCTACTACCGTAAAGATTGACTCTCAAAAACCTTATCGAGGGTGGCGATGAGCTAGCATCCACTGAATTGTAGCCCATGTATTACATGCCCTTTGGGCGCACTGGTGCATGGAGTAGTCATGTGCCTACCTTCTCCACCTTCTGGTTGAGAAGGCAAGACTGTGAGAAGCTGAACAACTCTCCTAAGTTCACACACAGCTAGTAAGAGGTGGACTCAGATGCAAACTTTCCAGAGCCTCTGCTCTTAACCAGGGAGCTCTGGTGATAGGGTGCTCACGAGTTAGGCTGCCATCCACAAGACCAGCAGTTTGAAACTACCAGCCACTCCGAAAGACAGGGCTTTCTATGCCCATAAACAGTCACAGTCTTGGAAACTCACAGGGGCAGTACTACCCTGTCCTATAAGGTTGCTCTCAGTTGACATCAACTCAGTGGCAGGGAGTTTATGTTCTAGACTACGTGATTGCTGTGGGTCTCAGCCAAATAAATCCCTTTCCCCCTGAACATTGAGCTTTCTGAGGGCTGGGGTATGGAGACAATGACCTTCACCCCCACCTTCCTGTCTCCACATAGACACAGACATCGTGGTGTAGTGAATCGCCTTACCCCAGGCCATTACCTCCTTCGGCTGTCAGAGTTGGGAATAGCGATTCTCCCCACAGGTTTTCTCTTGTCTGGACAGTAACTCAAAGAGAAAGTCAAAGGTAATGGGCCTAATAGTTGGGCAGACATCTTGATAGAGCAATGATAGTAATTGGTCTGAAATGCAGGGAGAAGGACAGTGTTTTGTTTGATCCAGAGGGTCTCCCACACGTATCTATTATCAGAACATTCTCTGTTGAGAGCAGCCAGGCGCACTGAAAGCCCCTGCGAGGTGAGACAGAGGGAAAATGCTAGACGGGTGTCAACCAGCGATCACACGAAGTATAGCTTTGACTCGGGGACGTCTTTTGATGTGCTTTGAGAGATGTAGCCTGCTTTCAAAGATGAGTTTCATCTCCGGGGACAACAGAGAGGCTACCTCCACCATGTTTAATGCCCTTTCCTGGGCAGACAACCATGGCTGGTCACTTTGTTTCCCCTTCAGGAAAGCATACACCAAGTTGACCAGATGGAAAGCCAATAAGATCTCAATGTTCGTATTGGTGTTATTTGCCATCAAGTCATGCTAACATGCAGGGAAGCCAGGCATGTAGCCGAGTGCTGCTGGAGGCCTTGCTGAAGCAGATCGCCAGACCTGTCTCCTAAGATACCTCGGGGTGGGTTCAAACTGCCAGCCTGTCAGCTGGACGTTAGCTTAACTGTTCACCCCACCCACAAACCACTGCCACTCATGGAGACCCTATAGCAGCAGCGGTTCTCAACCTGTGGGTGGAACGACCCTTTCACAGGAGTTGCCTAAAACCATTGGTAAAAACATATTTCCGACGGTCTTAGGAACCGAAATACCGCTCCTCTATCCATCTCCAGGTGGGTCGCCCACATGCAGATACACCCACATACTAGTACCTGGCATGAAGACTGTTACCCATGCTACACCATACTTCAAGACATTTCATTTATTTGTCATCAGAAATAAATATTTCATAATATATAATTACATATTGTTTTGTGATGAATCACTATGCTCTCATTATGTTCAATTTTTAACAATGAAAATACATCCCACTTATCAGAGATTTATATTACAATTAATAACAGTGGCAAAATTACAGTTATGAAATAGTAACGAAAATAATGTTATGGTTGGGGGTCACCACCACATGAGGAACTGTATTAAAGGGTCACGGCATTAGGAAGGTTAAGAACCACTGCCCTATAGAATGGACTAGAACTGCCCCCATGAGGTTTCTGAGGCTTTAAATCTGTATGGACCCAAACCACCTGCCTTGTCTTTCTCCTGCAGAACAACTAGTGGAATTAGACTACTGACCCTTTGGTTAGGAACCCAGTGCTACATCCACTGCACTACCAAGGCTCTTTGGCCCACCCAGGGACCCTAATAGTTTAGTGTTACTGTTGTGAGGTGCTGTCCAATCGGTCCCCGCGCCCAGCGGCTCTATGTACAGCCGAGCAAAGCATGGCCAGGCCCTGCACCAGCCTCCTAATTGTCCTGCTCTGTGAGCCCAGCCTTGCAGCCACTGTGTCCCTCTGTCGTAAGGCGACATTCCTTCTCTCTTTCACTGCCCCTCTACTTCCTCCGGGGACTGGTCTCTTCTGATAAAATGTCCAAAGTACTTCATCCCCATGGCCTTGTAAAGCGAGTGCACAGCAAAGGCAGCCAGCATCTCCACTCACAGTACCTGCCACAGCATGGACGTTTCCCAGCGCCCTATGAAATGACTGGGTTTTGACTTGGAATTTCCTAGGGGTGACCTAATGCTCCGTGAGTTAGAGAGTAAATGATACAGAGAGCCACTTGGCTGTGTCTCAGCCCATCTTGTGGAGCCATCTCCAAGAGCTTTCAGCTGGAAAGGCGGGTAGACACTAAAGGCATTGGCTTGATGGAGTCTCTAATCCTCGGCTGCACTCTGCAAAAGTAGACGCTCTTGCTGAGTTGACCTCCTCGTGGCAGAAATCGCTCCCGCCAGGTTTTGGAAGAAGAGCGCAGAGAAGAGAGACAGTCGAGAGAGCAGACGCAAGGTGCCATGGTTTGATTCTTCCCTCCAGAATGGCAGTGAATGGGAAATTCACTTTAAAGGCAAAACAAGCCTTGCCACTCCCAAGGTACTTCAGAGTGGGCTCCCACTGCCATCCTTGGTCGAGAAGTCAGGCATTTAGCTCTGTTTATTTTAATTTATGGCAAAACTGAGGAAGATGATGATAATGTGATCATTTGAAAAAATATGTACAATTCTGGGAAGAGCTAAATCAACATAACATGATTGCTTATCCTACATGAAATAAGGTGCAGGTTAGAACAAACACCAACTAGCCGATTTTTTTATGAAAATAAGATTCTCATAAGTTGGATATAAAACCTAGCCCCAAACCTAGCACACATCAGAATCTTGTATATTTGGAGTTCCCTTTTTCCTTATTGTGGTCAATATACAAATAAAACATTTGGCATTTTGACAATCATCCATGTACAGTTCAGCGGCATTTAACTATGTGCATCTTGTTTCCAACCATCACCCTTAGCCATCCCTAGACTTTCCCATCATTCTTAGCAAAAGCTCAGTGTCCTGCAAGCATTGAATGGTCCTTTTACCCACCCTCTGCCCACCCTTGTAACTGTGAATGTGCCTTTCTCTGTGTACATTTATATGAAGGTCTAGGCTTTTTCTTAGCTTATAATTCCTCCCAAAACCAAACTCACCACCACAGGGCCAATTCTGACTCAGTGACCCTACAGGACATGGCGAAACTGCTCCTGTGAGCTTTCGAGACTGTTAACTCTTTACGGGAGTAGAAAGCGTCATCTTTCTCCCTTAGAGTTTGCTGGTGGTCCACTCTGCTGACCTTGAGGTTAGTAGCCCAATACATAACCATTATGCCACCAGAGCAGAGTATAT